AGAGAATTCCTGTATCCCGTGCATCTAGTTTCTCTTACCATTAATATCTTATATTGATATGGAACATCTACCACAACTAATGAACCAATACTGACACACTATTGTTAACTAAAGTCCATACTTATTCAAAGTTCCTTAGTTTTCAGCTAAGTCCTTTTACTGTCCCAGGAATCCATCTAAGATGCCATATTACAAGTAGGCATCGTGTCTCCTAGACTCCTCTGAACTGTGGCAGAGGAATTTGTTTTTGATGACTGTTACTGTCTTGAGGAGTAATCATCAGATATTTATTTTATAGAGTGTTTATTTTATATTTATATTATTTTATTTTATCTTTGAGACAGGATCTCACTCTGTTGCCCAGGCTGGAGTGCAGTGACACCATTTGGCTCACTGAAACCTCTGCCTCCTAGGCTCAAGCGATTCTGTTGCATCAGCCTCCTGAGTAGCTGACACTACAGGCACGTGCAACCACATCTGGCTAATTTTTGTAATTTTTTGTAGAGACAGGGCTTCACCATGTCACCAAGGCTGATCGCGAACTCCTGGACTCAAGTGATCCACCTGCCTTGGCCTTCCAAAATGCTGGGATTACAGGCGTGAGCCACAGTGCCTAGCCTAGAATGCTTTTCAATTTAGGTTTGTCTAGTATTTTTTTTTTTTATCATAGCTATACTTAGATTGTAAGTTTTTGGGAGAAATAACACAAAGGCAAGTACCATTCTCATCACATCATATCAAGGGTATGTACTACTAACTTATCACTAAGGTTACTAACTTTAATCACCTGACCAAAGTAGTATTTATCAGCTTTCTCCACTCTAAGATTATTCTCCTCCCATTTCCATACTGTACTCTTTGGAAAAAAAAGTCACTATGTGCAGCCCACACTTACAGAATGGGAAGTTACGTTCCAACTTCTTGATGGCAATATGCCCACATAAATTTTCTGGAACTCATCTGTTACAGGAGATTTTTCCATTTATCCCCATGTGTTAAGTCACTTATTTATACGAGTATGGATTCATGATTATTAATTTTATACTTTGGGTAATATTTCAATACAATTTTATTTTGTTGCTTAAACTATTCCAGCTTTGGCCATGGAAAGCTCTTTTAGTTAGCTCCTGTGCCCCTCTGACATTAACTCCCTCATTTTGTTTCTTAAGTACTCCCTTACTTGCTGGCTCTTACAAGATGCTCCAGTATAATTTTGTATAACCCTTGCATTAGCCCTAGAATCAGCCATTTCTACAGAGCCCAGGTTCCTTTTACTGTAGAACTATAATAGGAAACAAGACCTTGGCACTGGGTGTGCTCATTGTTATTGGGTATTGTTTCTTCTAGGCCTTCTCAATGGACAGAGCTACAAAATATATAAAATGTTTTCAATTCATTCAATCACATATTAAGTTTAAATTAAGTACTTGGCACCAGACAGGAATTATTTAAAGATGATATATAGAATACTGTGTTGACTATAATGGACATCTAGGTGATATGACTGAGTCACCATCGACAAAGTCCATTTATTTCTCAAGTAGCAGGAATGGATCTGTCCTGTATATACTTCTGAAATTATTTGAAAGTCTAAGAGTATAGTCTAATAAAAAGGGTAAAGGTCGTCAGAGAAACTAAATTCACAAGCTTTGTCCCTTTAGCACTTTACCCTAGTCAAGAAGTCATGAACTAAATAACAACAGTTTCTATAGTTCCAGTGTCAATGCTTTAGGAAATCCTCTGTAGAAAACCATTATATACATAAATACCAAATTCAAATATGCATTTTCCAAGAAGGTACTTGTTTTGAAAATGCATTTCATGTTTTGGATACTCACTAGCAACTTTCTTGATTCTTTCTTGACAACAGATTTTGCTCTAGAGCACTATGTTCAGATATAGTGGGACATGACTATACATGAAGTAACCAAAATGTCCTAGAGCCCTGAGAATTCCAGCCCCTCTATTCCACGGGTCACCTTACATGAAACAAATCTAATAAAATACTAGTTTCTTTCCATCTGTGTGATATGACTACTCATATAAAAATACACCCCAAACAAATAAGGTTTGCCCTATATTCTCTGCCCATTGTCCTCGTTCCTATTTAACAATGTAAGTTTTGTAGAAATCCTTGACAAGGTTCTTCAAATTACAGTCTTATTAAGCTAGTGTTGTTCAGCACTGAACACCTAAAATTAATTTTATTTTGATTTGACCAGTATGCAAATGAAAAATTATTTCAAACTTTCATGGTGAGATCAAACTGGATTTTCCATTTATTTCTTATAATTTCACCTACATTTTAAACTAAAGCAATATATTTTATAGTAGAGGACCATAATACGCCCTTTGAGGCAATGCACTGTGCATACAAACTGATTTGCAATCTAAAATATGTCAACAATTCCCTAGCATCTAGTGCCAAGATATACTTGTCATCTCATCTAACAAGTTATCAAAGATAAGGCCTTAAGCATAGGAAGCAAAATACCAGGGGAGTTCTTTACTATTTTTCCCAGTGAACATAATTCAAAACATATCTATTTGTGCATGGCTTTTACTTGGTTTTACATGTATCAGTGCCTTCTGCAAACTGCCACTCCCACATAAATTTTTTAATGTATTTCTGAAAACAGAACAGAGAATTTGATGCAAATATACTGGCTGAGAAACAGCCAAAAGTAATACAGTTATTTATTGAAGCTGGATATACTTATATGAGTTTTAGATTTTCTCACATTAGAAATATCTATATATATGTACATGTCCTTAAAATCCAAAGGCCAGAGTACATTTGTTAACATAACTAAATTATAGATGGCTACTGAAAATAATAGCATGGAATGGTCAGAAGCATCAAAAACTGTGCTAATTGATATTATCATTATCATACTGGAATCAAAAAGGACTACATTTCCATAACTGGCATGATTTGAAAAACCAAGTGGAGGGATCACTCAGTATTCATCCTCAGAGGGAGAAAATTTAAAATGGAAAAATGTCTTAAGCTGAGGTTGAAACTGGATGGCAAAAATATATAATCTGAATGTAGGTGATTCATTCATTCACTCAACAAATTTTTACTGAGATCCTACTGTGAACCACACACTGGTATTAGAGAAGGCTTTATGGGGCTTACTTTTTAGAGGAGGAAAATAATTAGCAAATTTGGGTTTTATTCCAAATATATCAGAATGAGTCTAACCAGGACTTTAATAGAAAATACTGGGAGTGGCAGTTGGGAGATGGATAGAGGAAAAAGTTAAGTGACATAATGAGAAAACAGGCAGATAAATCTAGAATGTAGAAGATTCCATAAAACAAACAGCTGATTTCTTCTAAAAATCAATTTCATGGAATAAAAGAAAAATTATTTTAGGAAAAAAACTTTAAAGAGATATAACCGTTATTTAATCCTAGTTCAATTAAAAAAAAAAAAAAACGTGTATCAGAGACTTCTTTCTAGAATGATGAAATGTTCTCAGATTAAGATGATGGCTGTACAACTTTTGTAAATTTGCAGTAAATCATCAAACTGTACACCTAAAATAAATAATTCTCATGGTATAAAAACTCCAATGAAACTTAAAAACTGGGTGCAGGCATCGAAGATATCTAATACTGATTAGGCATTAGATGATAGGAAAATACTTTAAGTAGCTTAAATATGATAATACTGCGATTACAGAGAAAGGCTTTATTTTTAGGCAAAATATGCTGCAATATGTGCATATGAAGCATCATGAGGTCTGTAACTTACTTTCAAATTATGCAGCAAAACAGAGAAAGCAAATAGAACAAAATGATAAAAATTCTTGACTCTAGATTATGGGTATATAGGTGTTAGTCTTCAGGTTTTCCAAGTGCTTAAAAATTTCATAAGAAAAAGTTGGAAAATATATTATTTTTAAGAGATTAAAAGAAAGTCACTGGAAGATAATAGGTAGGGAATGACAATCTGTTGTTACTGGTCATATTAACAAACAAATTGGACCTGCTTACTATATGATTTGATCAGTTAGACAGAAATATCTCAATGCTGTGAATACTGAATACATTTAGTATTTATTAGAAAAAATAATTGATGATGAAACTACAGACAGACTTGGCCTAATGTCATGTGTGCGGCAGTATGAATAGCGGTAATGCAATTCACCTTTCCTTTCTGCTTTCTCTGTCCCATCTTTTACCTTTCAGTTTTGGCTAGTTTACTTTTGTTACGCCAAACACATAAAAGTCAAGAATCCCTAAGGTACATGGCATAATAACCAAAGACCTTAACTAAATCTATGAACTTCAACCTAAATAATTTAGCCACTGATTAACTCTTCCTCTTTATCTTCTGCCAAATTCATTCTCCCCTCTGTCTGTACTTCAGCCTCAGTAGCTTCTTTCTGTCAGTATCCCTGATAAGCCATATTCCCTCTGCCCAAGACCTTTTCAAGTACTATTCCCTCCCTAAGTGCAACCTTAGTATCATTTACATAGGGAAGTCTTTCTTGATGTCCTTGAAAAAGTTAGGTGTGGTAATTATACTCTAATTATTTGTGTAATCATTTATTTAATATAATTTCCCCCAACTAGATCATGGATTCTATGAGGAAAGGATTAATGTCTTGAGAGTTCAACACTAAAGCTCTCAAAAAAATAAGCAAATATACATGTTATTATTTATCTCATTTATAAACCAAAAGAAACCACCTGTATTACCCTCATTTCCTCTAAAATCTGTTGCTCCATTTCTCTGCTTACTGTTATAGCAAAACTCCTGGAAATAGCTACTTACAAAAAGTTTTCAACTCCTTTCTTCTCAGTTTCTCTTGAATTCATAGCAATGGAACTTTCACCTCAACCACTCCATGGGAATTTTTCCTGTCTAGGTTATGAATGACCTCCATGTCACTAAATCTCATGATCAATGATTATTCTTCATTTTAACCTCATGGATCAGCATAATTTGACAGAGTGGATCACTCCCTCTTTCTTGAAACACTTACCTCAATTGGCTTCCAGGATAACACACACTCTAGGTTTTCCTCTCACCTTTCCCAGCTGCTTCTTTCTAAGTTCCTTTTCAGGTTCTTCCACTTTTACCACAGATAAATGAGAAATAAGATAATATTTGTCAAAGTTATTGCACTAACATGGCAGTAAATTTTAGGTTACAGAACTAAAACTTAGAAAAAATGTAAGAAAATTTGAAGAGGTACGTGACCAGAACAAAATATTGTTTTATCAGGCAAATTAATCACTCTTTTTAGAAAGTTACAATTAGCACTTTCTTACCATTATTGTCATTTATTCAATTGTAAACAACTATCTACTATGAAGAACTATAGATTGGTCCCTGCTCTCCCACTTTTTCTACCTATAATTGTCTACCTAATGTATTCCTTCCTCACTGCCTATTGAAACCACTCTACCCTCAATCTAATCATTGTTCTAAAACCCAATTTCTTTAAACAAAATTCTTCCCCATCACCTACACTTCTTTTTTATATTTCAATAGTACTTTAAACCTAATAAAGTAAATTAATGAAAGAGTGACTGCGGTAATATTTATAAAATAATTTTCCCCACCCTAAGTAATCTAAGAAATAAATTCATTTTTAATGATCCTCAGTTTCTCTAAACTTTGATTGTCAAAAAAACTGATGAATATAGAACTCTCTGACAGTAAAAACAGCTATTCCTACAAAACAGGGACTCAAAGTATGGTCCCATGACCATGGGGATCTTCAAGATCCTTTCAGGGAGTCTCTAAGGTTCTCCTTTTTCTTACCATGTATTTGTGTAAGATCTGATGTTCTTCATATATTTCAACTAAAATATCATATCACAACAGACTGAAAGTAGAAACGGATAAGAGAATTATTAAGCTAGGCATTAAGGAGAGTTTTAAAAATATGCAATAGTATATCTTGTTCTCCCTAAATGTTTTTAATTTGGAAAATAAAATTATATTTTATAAAATGTTACCTGATTAACAGGTAATGGGTTTATTCTTGGTATTTTCAAACAGGTTAAATATTGTAAACATTTCTCAGTTTTACTTTTAATACCACAACTACCAGTAGCTACTATATATCAGATATTATTTACCACATAAACAAATGCTTTCTAAGGTTCTTGGTAATTTGTAACAGCGTAAAGTAATCCTGAGACTAAAAAGTTTGAGCAACTTCGCTCTGAAAAAATGTTTCTCAAATAATACCCACTGACCACCTGCCTTTTTTTAATTAAAAACATATTTTTATTTTTAATATATTAACCTGCCTATTTTATATATATATATATTTTACATTTTCAACATGGACTCCAGTTGATTGTTATACACATTAAAATTAGAAAAATCAAGGGAAGGGGTATATAGACTTTGAAGTCTGTTTAATTCAAACTCTAGCTCGGACACTTCCTGGTTGTAACCCTAGCCTATACTACTCTTTTTTTTTTTTTTTTTGAGACAGAGTCTCGCTCTGTCACCCAGGCTGGAGTGCAGTGGTGCGATCTCGGCTCACTGCCAGCTCTGCCTCCCGGGTTCACGCCATTTTCTTGCCTCAGCCTCCCGAGTAGCCGGGACTACAGGCGCCCGCCACCATGCCCGGCTAATTTTTTGTATTTTTAATAGAGACGGAGTTTCACTGTGTTAGCCAGGATGGTCTCGATCTCCTGACCTCGTGATCTGCCCGCCTCGGCCTCCCAAAGTGTTGGGATTACAGGCATGAGCCACCACGCCCGGCCCCCTATACTACTCTTAAGCAATTTCCAGCTCTTAGTTTCCCCTCCCCCTATGTCCGGAATCCTATTCTAACTGCATATATTCAATTAAATAATTGCTCATCTCTTGAAGAAGCTCCAAGATTTTGTATCAGAGAAGTTTTAGAGGCAGTAATCTGGGTCTGAGAGAAAGGACACTGGAAAGGACACTTGTACTTCCGTAAGAGGCACGTTGTTTTTACTTAAATTGTTTTGAGGTGGCTATGAGAAGATGATGGTGATTTTAATGGGATTCTCTTTCCCAGGCTACTCCTTGCCATTGACACTTACCTATTTGCTTCTGCTATAGAACAGCAAGGGCCCCCTCAAAAGATTTTATTTCCTCTTCTTCACCTCCAAGCATATGGCGGTGAAGACGGCAGCCATTTTGTCTTGCCCTAGCCCCAACCCAAATCAGTTATTCTTATCAAACTGCCTGCTACCTCCTCAATGCTCATTGTGGTTTGAATACACAGTTCTGACCAATCACAGGCTTAGAACTGGTTAGAATGTTTCAATTCAGTCAGTTAACAGAAACCTAACAGAAACCCATGACATTTTGCCCAGCAGTGAACCATCCTTTTAAGAAAGTGTTTCCTCTGTATAAGAGTACTGCTCATAGTTCATTAACCCTCAGCATGAGAATTATACAGAGCGATGTTTAAAAATGCAGATTCCTGTGTTTCATCCCAGACCAAGTGTATCAGAATCTCTGGGAATAAGACCTAGGAATTTAAAAAATGTCTTCAGGGGCTAGGCATGGTGGCTCATGCCTGTAATCCCAGCACTTTGGGAGGCGAGGTGGGCAGATCACCTGAGGCCAGGAGTTCGAGACCATCCTGGCTAACACGGCGAAACCCCGTCTCTACTAAAAATACAAAAATTAGCCGGGCGTGGTGGCGGGTGCCTATAGTCCCAGCTACTCGGGAGGCTGAGGCAGGAGAATGGCGTGAACCCGGGAGGCGGAGGTTGCAGTGAGCCGAGATTGTGCCATTGAACTCCTGCCTGGGTGACTCCATCTCAAAAAAAAAAAAAAACTTCAGAAACTAAAGTCTGAAAACCATTGCCATAGGAAAAATTTCACATTAAAACAATACAGAGAATAGGAAAAAATGCATATTCTTTATCATCATCACCTAGTTCTTTTACCAATTGCAAACAGATGGATGTTGTCACCAACATGCCCTTCTATATAGACATATTTGTTTCCTTCCAATTAGACACTGCTATTCTTTCAGTGTCCTAGTAGTACCGGGAGTAGTGAGGCTAATTCTCCCTATCTAAAGTCATAAGATATTTAAGTATAAATCAGAATGCCCATGCAATAGCTTATACTGGTAAATATTATAAACACAGGAATGTTTAGTTTAATAACCAGCATATTCTGTCTCTATTAGAGGATATACATACTTTTGTATGGATATCATACATTAAAATCATAATCAGAGTTTTCCTTGGTGAGCCTGGAATCATTAAAAAGGGAGTCAGTAGATTTTTTTAATGATTTTTTTTTTATTAAACCTCAAGGTTTAATTTGATGTACTTACTCATCTCCATTATTGAGATGGGGACTGGAACATTCCAATCTACTAATCAGGACACTCTTTTTCCTAGACAGTGCTGGAAACCTGCAACCAGGTCTCTGATTTTCCCTAATGGAGTTTTCTTTCTGATAATTCATTCTCCTGTTAAATGATTAGATTTCATTTTTCAATTTATAATCACGGTCTATTTGTGTCTCCTTCAGACTCAATCAAAACTCTGGGTGCTTCCAAATTGAATTATCTACTCACCAGTCATCTCTTGGGTTAATTTTGCAGGTGTTTTATCTTACTGGGGATTTAAATTTTTCCTAATTTCACCTTGAATTTCTGACCCTTTGAATTGATTTCACACAATACATCGAATTTTAAAGTACAAGCAATCAACTTTTAAAGAGATCTCAAGAATGTTTAGTATAATGTCTATTAATTGTAAAAATCCCATGGCAGAAGTTTTTCATTGTGTTATATTAACTGGAGAATATTTTCAATGTGGTTTACTGCATCAAAAGATATTCCATATGAAACCATTATAAACAAGCATGTAATATCTTTCTCAAAAGATGCTCAGTAATAGACAATTTTCATCTGCATTTTGCATTTCTACCTGTGCTTCTCTTGATCTTACTCTCACCTTCTAAACATAGATGATCCCTGTGCTGCCAACCCAATATTATTTTTTCTCTGTGCTCACTTGTTCTTTCCCTTTAAAAAAATGTACCTTGGGTTTTGTAAAAGGTCTAAAATACAGGTGCTTTATTGTACTGGATAATAACCAATATTTTAACTTTAACAAATATTATATTCATAATCTATTATCTAGGTAATTCTTTATTCAACTTTTTACACTGTGGAAATACTTCAAAAGAACAATTTCAAAGAAGCAAATGCTAACCTTGTCGTTATTTCAAAGTTAAAATTTTCTTATAAAACTTTTATAAGAAACATTAGTTACAAAAAGCAAAAGCAGTAAAATTAGTACTAAAATGCATGGATGCATGCTACCTTTAGAAGGGGTTTGGACTTCAAAAAGCGTTCTAATGTTGCATCTTAACTTGTACTGGTTATGAAACCATAGGCTGATCTTTTAGCCTTTATTAGGACAGTCTTCACATTGGTACAATGAAAAAAGCTGTCTCTATCTTGTGAGTTTTTGTGAAAATCAAATATGGCACTAATATGAGCACACTTCCAAAAGGCAAATGTGTCATACTGATGTAATTTCATATTGTTAGAATTGTTAATATTAAGAATTATCATGCTGTCACAAGGATATAAAGGGAGGACCATGTGGCTCTATTTAACAAAAATTCCAAAGCAAATTTTGAAATTAAAGAATATATATCTCAGTGACATTACACTCTCTCTCCCTCTCTCTCTCTCTCTCAGGTCAGCTTTTAGGAGGATCCTATACATAATACAGATGACTATGCAAATATTGTACACTGGGTTTGCCCAGCTTGCATACATATTATTTACTCTTTTCTGTGTCCAGTCCATCTTCCATACTGCCAACTCTAGTTACCTACTTTAAAATAAAACCCTGACTTTTAAAAATGTCATTAGTTTGTCAGAAAGACCCTGGCTTCCACTTGCTTCTCCAAACTTATCTCCCCTTAACTTTCTTCTTCTTATTCTCTTTTCTTCCTTGACTCATCACTATGACTCCTATGCTACAGCCCTAGAAAATATCTTACAGTTCCTCAAATATTTCTGGGTCTTTTCTAACTCTTTGACTTTAAACAATCATCATCGTTTCCTTTCACTGGAAACCTTTCCTTTAATCACTG